TGCGATCCGTTGCCGGACACGAAAAAAGACAAAAAAAAAAGGAAAAAAAAAAAAAAAAGGTGGTCAGGGGCGTGGTTCTGAGGCCTTTAAAAGAAGAGGAGAGTCTGTCTCTCTCTCTCTCTCTGCTTCCACCATCTTGCAGTGCAAGACCCCTGGGTCACTGTTGCCACCACCAGATGGACTTTGGACTTCCCAGCCTCAGAAACTGTAAGCAATAAATGTTGTTTTTCTTTATAAATCACCCAGTTTCGAGTACTTTGTTACAGCAACACAAAAAGGACTAATACAGGTAGGGAGCATGGAGGACAGGGATCCTCAAAGCCAGAGACTCCCACCTGCCCCTCAGGGCTGTGCACCAACGTTGACGCCTGTAGCGTACGTGAGGCACACAGCTCAGTGCAGAGGTACGGGAGTGGTGCTGTTCCTGCTGAGGATGTGGCCGACGTGCACTGAGCGCACCAGGGCCTGGAGGGCAGCACTCAGCTAGGCTCAGGGACCAATGGGCAGTGGGGCACCAGCCAGCCACTGCCACCGGCTCCAGGGAGGATGCAAGATTCTGGGAGCCCTGGCTGGTTAGACACCACTAAATGCAGGGAGTAGAGGGGAGGTCCTACACTGGGCCTGGGTACAGTGCATGGAAGGTTCCAGCATAGGCTCTGCAGCAGGCCTAGTGACTGAGAACCAGGTGGGAAACTGCACACCCCAAGCCCCCACCTCCCTCTTGTGTCCCACCCACTGGCAGCCCTGAAAGCCATGTCCCCTTTCCCTCCCCAGACACCCCCCCCCCATGGTGGACAGGCTGTGCCTAGAGCTCGAGGTCTAAGGGAGAGCAGGGGTGGTGGCCCTCAGAACCCACAATGGCTGGCTGGTTAGCTCAGTTGGTTAGAGCATGGCCTTGTAACACCAAGGTCAAGGGTTCAGGGTTTGGATCCCCATACTGGCCACCTGCCAAAACATAAAAAAATGGGGAAAAATTTCTATATATTTATATATCTATATTTTATTTTATTAAAAAGAATCCGCACTGGACAGCCTGTCTCCTTTCTAGCCTTTTGCTCAGATGGGAGACACATTCTGGGCTTTGGTGGGGGAACACTTGCCATACTGAGGTCTCTCCCAAGTGCCCACAGCTCTGCTTGGCTGAGGTGCTGTGAGGCGTGTCTAGGCTCCTGGTGAGCAGCAGGCAGGTGGAAGACCCCTTGGAGCAGAATTTGTATTCCTTTCCCCAAGAGTCCCAGGAGCTCCTAGAGCCCAGGCCCCAGCCCCCCTGCAGGCACCACCCCTCTACTCCACCCCACATCCCAGCCCGGGCAGGCAGGGCAGCCCCACACCTGGAAACAGGACAGATAAGGCCAGGAGTCTGGACAGCCCCAGACTCCAGCATCTTGGGGTCAAACACAACCTGGCCGACCTCAAGGAGCTGGAGCCCTTCAGGGAACACAGGAACAAGGATTTCCCTAAAGCCAGCAGGGAGCCCAGCGGCTGAGCTTTCACAGAGCCACCAGGGGGAACCAGAACGGCCGCAGAGGGGAGGCCGTAGGGGGTGCGGGGGGAGGGGCACATCTCCTAGCTCCTGCTCCATCACCACTGGTGCTTCTGGCTAAGGTAAGAGACACCAGAGGTGGACACTAACTCAATGAGGTATCAGGACTCTGAAAAAATGTCACTTGCATGCAGCCTCCTGTCCACCTGGGGTGGGCAGTGTGATGACAGCAAGAGGTAGGCAAGGCGTCCCAGACAGGCCAGGGTGGGAGATGGGCCTGGCCAGAGCAAGACCCCCTTCCCCCACTGTATGGCCACACTCCAGCCACTGACCATGCCAAGAACCTTGCACAAGCCCCAGCAGCCAGCAGAGCCAGGTGTCTGGGAAGGGACAGCAGTGTTTCTGCAGCAGCGGCCTTTCCAAGTATTTTAAGACACTAACAACTGATATGCTCATTCATAAATACACAATTTTATTTGCTATCTTCAGGGGAA